AGTTTCAAGGATTATCTATTAGCCTGAAGTTATTATCTGCAACGAGCATGTACACATTTAACTTCATCACAGTAACTAATACTTGAAGAATTTCATAATTTCATCCAGTGTTTAGTATCTACGACTAATATCCCCAACAATATCTTCATCCTCGTAGATTAGTTGGTGTAATTAAGTGCATTGTCATTTAGGAAAGAGGGCCTGAAGTCTGTAATGAACAAATGGAGAATCTTATCTTCCTAACATACACAAAGTTAACAGCTGGAATTTTTCTGTTATTGCAGGCTGCAGACTCTCAAATTGTCTCGGATTATGTTAGATATTTTCTTCATCAGCACACGTGAGTAGATTACTCTTTGTTTCTTATTATCCAACTTTTGTTCTTCATGTTGGATGTATTTCTGATTATATGATAAAACCAACTTCTCTTGATGAAAGAAACAACAGAAAATATCCGGAATTGAACAAAACAGCTCTACTTTCTATACATGTTTGAATCATTTCTCCTATGATATCTGAGAATACATGTTCACCTGATTGACTTGTATCTATGAAAGTATACAGAAGTTGAAATTGTTGTTACTGATATATCTTTGTTTTTTACACAGGATTCAACTGGGTCAACCTGCTACTGTGAAAGTTGCTGCTAACCTTGTTAGACTTTTATCTTATAACAACAAGGTTTGCATTCTTTTTCTACATTTTAATCACTAGCATAATGCTTACTTTTTTTTTTCCAATTGATTTATATGGCTAAATTAGTCCATTGAAATATATGATTGTGCTAAATATTTATATATATATATATATATATATATATATATATATATTATATATATATATATATATATATATATATATTTTCTTTTATTAATTTTATAGAACATGTTGCAAACGGGTATAATCGTTGGTGGTTGGGACAAATATGAAGGTGGAAAAATATATGGAATCCCTCTTGGTGGAACAATTCTTGAGCAGCCATTTGCCATTGGAGGTTTTTTTTTTTTTTTTTTTTTTTTTTTTTAATTAAAAGTAGGCAAATAAATAAATAAATAAAAACAATATATTAATGGTTAATCTCGTTTAGGATCTGGGTCGAGCTATTTGTATGGGTTCTTTGATCAAGCATGGAAGGATAACATGACCAAGGAAGAAGCTGAGGTTAAAAATAAAAAAATAAAAAACTTTCTAGGGCTATTTTTTATAATAAGGGCATTTTCGTCTTTTCTCCCATATTCACATTTATGATTTTTTTTTGTTAGCAACTGGTGGTTAAGGCTGTTTCACTTGCCATTGCGCGAGATGGTGCTAGTGGAGGCGTTGTCCGCACTGTCATTGTAAGTAAAAAAAAAAAAAGATATTTTAAAATGCAAGAAATAAATCATACTTTTATATTTCTTCCTATTACAACATTGTAATTTGAAATTCTATTATAAATTTGCTATGATTGATAGATTTTTTTGGAAACAAACTAGATTGTTATTTCTTGGATTTAATTGGAAGTGGTGGTTGTGTAGATAAACTCGGAGGGGGTTACAAGGAACTTCTACCCTGGTGATAAGCTTCCTCTGTGGCATGATGAGGTGGAGGCACATGATTCGTTGCTGGATATCTTGAATGCTGCAAATCCTGAGCCCATGAGCACTTAAAAAAAACTTGTTTGGAATTGCAATTGAATTGTTCTTATGATAGTAATTACTACTACTTCCTAATGTACCTTTTGTACTCTTTGTTTTACAGAATTTGGTTCTTTTGGTTTAAGGTTTTATTACTTTGAGCTTTCATGGTTGTTGCTTGTATTTGGTTTGGTTAGTTGTCCTTTTATTGTATTGTGATTTTAACATAGGTTGAGTGGACAAATAATGCTTCTTTTTATCCCATTCACCTAATAATGTGGAACTAAAACTGGCTCTAGACAAAAGATGTGAATACACTCCTCATTCTAGACCTTTTGTTTGTGCAGAAGATGCGAATACACGATAGAAAGCAACACCAAATCTTTCCTGATGGAAATAGGGCTTTCACTAGAAGCAAATATTATTACATCTTCATTGATGAATATAATTTCTCGTGAGATTCTAGGAGGGGTACTAGGAATGAGCTGAAAGTTTGGTTGGAAGGCTTTGGAGGAAAAAGGCGAACGAAATATTTATTGTAAAGGGGTGAAATGGTTAATGATTACAAGTATGTATTGGTAAGCAAATTCTATACTTAAATGGGTTATCGTACTAACTCTAAGATACATAAGGGAGAGTGGAGGATGACACATAAAGATGAGATGATTAAAATGGATAGCAACCACATGAGTTTGGGTGACAAGAAATTCAGTGATTCTACAAGAAAATTTCTAAAGGGTTACTATGAAGTTGGCTTTGTTGTATGTTTGGCCGATTAAGAAGCATGAGAGGAAGATGTATGTCACATAAATGAGGATAATGCAGTAGATATATGATGGGGTTACAACTTTATCCCTAAATTTTTATTATTTATATTTTATATATGTTAAAATAATTTATGTTATATTATATTTCCCTTGTTTTTCAAATTGTATTACAACTTTTTTTTTTTCTTTTTTCGGACTGTATATAAGAGTTAGCGTACTGAAACCCACATGGCCGAATTTATAATACCAAATTATTATTTATGTTTATGTTTATGTTTATTTTAGTCATGGCATAGTTGGTGTATGGTTTCTGAACTTTTATGATTCTGATTGGTCATTGGGTATGTAATTCAAAATCAACAACTTGTTTTTCTCTTTTTCAATTGAAATTCATCATAACGCACCATTGCTGCCGACTCAGAAATCAACTATCATTAATCCAATCCAGATGTTTTTTTTTTCAATAATTGTTTAGGACTAGTTGAATTATAACTATAGACTTGGGATTTAATTTCTTTGATAAGTTTGTTATTTTTGTTATAATTATTGAATGTTTATTTTTCTTGATTTTATGAGATAGATTTTTTTTTTTTTGTTTGGATGTTGTTGAGTTGATTATAATTGTGTTATTCACTTTGCACAAATGGATGGATTAAGTAACCACAAAACCAATATGCAAAAAAAAAAAAGAGCCTATAAAAACATAGAAATACCCGAATATGAATCATCATAAAAACAAGATTGAATTCAACAAGTGCAATTCAAGTCAAGGGTTTTTTATTTTCAGACTATACAGATATATGGATCTTTCAAAAGATTGTTGGCATATCATTCTGGTTTATAGTAGGATTCATAGGTTACAACTCTCGGCTTAGATTCTTCTTCCACAAACCCCATTGTCATATTCACAAAATCTTTCATCTTTGATTCCCTCCACACCTACCAACAAACATACATACCCACATTTCATTCCTTTCCAAACCCAAACACACTACATCACATCACATTCTGTGTTTGACATGTATTGGACTGAGGCTGAGACTGATACAGTAGAACAAAAGTAACAATTTTTTGTCTCACCCAAAGAGATGGGGCACTGACTCACCTTCAATCTCTTACCTGTGTAAAAGACGTGAATGCCCTCATCCATATCGTAAAAACAAACCACTTTTTAAAATGCATTGGACCGAGATTGATATAATTCGGCAAGGACTCACACTTGTTTGTGCAAAAGACGTAATTGCCCTCATCATTGTGTAAAAATTGTAATTGAATATGAAAAATTGTGATACCTCAAAATCCCATTCTCCATATAAATTGGTGTCATTACTCTTGGCCCAGACATATGTATAAGCCTGTAAGACATCAGGGGTATCCTGTGGAAACAATTAAATGATGTAATTGTAAATTTGTAATGTAAGTGGTTTTTGTCTACCATTTTGTATAATTACCTTTAAGGAAACATCAACAACCCTCTTTTCATATTCAAAATCCTCAAATTTATCCAGAATTTCTAATTCTGGAAGAGTGATCCCCAATAAAACCTACAGCAACACAATTAGAATGGTGAAATGAGCATAAAATCGAGAAGATTACATGAAATAAATGACAAACATACCCTCCCTGTAACTTTCTTGTTTTCTACAGGTAGAATGGCAGGATAAACACGCCCTTTGATGCTAAACCTATGACTACAAAAACAAGTTTTCATAATTCATAAAAAATATAAATCTATGCTATAAAAGGTCATGTCATTCATGATGTTAGTTGATAAATATAACAAATATAGAGTTCAATTATATATCAGAAGCCTATATACAATAATACAACCAGCTTCATTGCTTCTATTCTCAACATTTTGAAAACTTGTTTTGTTAGTTTTGTCATTTATTTGTCCAAGAAATTTATCTAAATTATATGCTGTTAAACTTTGTATTTCTTTGTGATACAGGGAGTATATGTATGTATAACAAAAGCAAACAGATAAAAAATTGATCCGAACTAGTGAGGGCTACTTTAATATTAGCATAATTATGAGCAAATCAACCTCAGCTAGAAGCTTTAACTCGTGAACAATAGCCCAATTTCCAAAGAATGACTACGATTGCAGGAATCGATTAAACCTAGATAAATTTAGGGCTTCTAATCGATTAAAACGTAACATCCAGAGTCATATGAACAAGAAATTTAAATACAATCAATAAATCAAAATTCAAATTACTGAGTGAGAAAGAGAGACTGACTAGCCGTGAAGGATGGCAGGAGAATTTTGAGGGATGCGGCGGAGGAGAACACGAACAACGTCGTCGGCTAATAGACTGCCGTAAACAAACACATTATGATTACTACCGCCGTTTGCGCTAGCGTTACCACCGCCAGCGCCACCACAGCTGCCTACTCCTGCTGTAAGGGAATTCGCCGACGCCATAGAATGATTAGTTCAATGCGATTATTGCTTTTGTAATGGAATTCGCCGATTAACGAAAAGAACAAGAAGCTAAAAAACGAATTGGATGAATGAAAAAGATTCACAAAGTTTGGAACAATTGGCTTTGGCTGATTGGTGGTTATGTCGTTATTTACATATTTATCAGTTTCAAGCTTTTGACGAATTGCACTAATCACCCTACAGTTTCACTCATCGGACTCAGTCTGTCACCACTATTTTTTAGGGTTTATTTTGGTGATGATAAAAGCTACGGGAGTGATATCTGTATTTGTATTTTTAATACATCAAGTCATCAATTAATTTTTGTTTTTGATTTTTATATTTTTGATTATCTTTTTAGTTAAAAATGGTATAAAAGTAAAACATTTAATTGGTTTTTAAACAGGTAAATGACACAAAAGTTGTTAACTTTTCAATTTTTTTTTTTTTTTTTTTTTTTTGATTTTGACACCGTATTCTTTTTCTGCATTCAATTTTTTGTAATTTTGACCGGTTGATGTTAGATCAAACAGTTACATGAAGACATGAAGAAAAATAAAAATAAAAAAACAAAAAACACAATGTTTTCAATTTTTTACAATTTTGATACTAAGATTTCAACTTACAACATAAATGAAAAAAACATATACAAAGACATAAAGAAACAAGAAACATTCCTAATTCATTTTCAAATAATAGCATTTACCATAGAAATAATGTAGATATTGAAACATGATCACCTAATAGATATATTTTTTTTATAAACCCCTTTAATTAATCATGTAGGTGTAACCCATGAATAATATATCATTTACTCTTGATTATTAAATTATCACTTAAGCCTAGATATTAAAGAATAACCCAAGGACAAAATTAGTACTTTACTCTATTTAGTTATATTTCAAAATTTTAACTTCACTTTGGTTTCCATATTGATTTTTGGGTTGACAATTGGTTTAATCGTGGATTTGGATTTAATTTTTGATTTAAACATGGAGGAGTTAAAGAAAATAGGCAAGATGAAGGAAATCAAATGAAAGCAAAAAAGGAAAACCAAAATGCCCTTTCAAAAATAATCAATTGCATGTCACATGACTGTTATTAGAATTTAAAAAAGTTTTGCCATATGTATTTTCATTTAATATAAATTTTTATATACCCTTGATATCCTTTATATGCTTTTTATTTCAAAAATCTTTTATTAGACTTTTTTTTAATTATTATTATTTGTTATTTGTTGTTGTTGTTATTATTATTATTATTATTATTATTATTATTATTATTATTATTATGTCTAATTGTTTTTAAATTATACATGTTTTAGAAAATATTTTTTATGTTAAAAAGTTATAATTCATTTACGGCACATTCTTAATAACTTTAGGGACCATATGTATAAATTACTTATCACTTTCATCAAAATAATCGAAAGAGTAGAATCTTTACTTTATAATCAACAAATTTGTAATTGATAACTGAGACTTGGAATCTTCGATGTGTATAGCCATAGGAATTCGAATTGATAATTGATAATTGAAACGCATGGAATCTTTACTGTATAATCAACAAATCGATAATTAATATTTGAGACATGGAATCTTCACTATTTATCCATTTGAATTCAAATTGACAATTGATAATTAAAACGACATATTCAAATCACGATATACGACTTGTGATGCATACCTTCAAATCGGCACATAATATATTAATTTGAATTATTATCATGTATTGATTCATGCTCTCAATTACCTTTATTCATACTCTCAATTGCTTTGATTCATAGTCTCATATCTCTGTATCCATATATCTACAACAATTGAATCATAGAGGATATTTTTAAATTGACCGGACATGTATTTGTAGGTTGTTATATGTTGTATTTTTACTGGATTATTTCAAATTGGCCAGATATGTATTTTTATTCATCAAGTGTTTAACACTCGTGAAAATTTATATAGTCCTAGTACAACGTGTATACTCCACCAAATAGAGCACATAGTAATTGTAAAATGGACCGGTTGATATACTAGATAATTAATAAATAAGTTATAATTTATTTACTATTATTTATTTATATTAAATTATAATTTTATCAACACAAGGAAGGTCCAAACTAAAAAATATATGGGGACATAACACGGTTTTAGTAATTTACTATGAAAAAAACAATTTCAATAACTTAATAATATTAACATCAATACTATACTGACACATTAATAGTCTCAACGAAAAAATAACACAATGAAAATGCGAACGAACAAAAAGACAAAAAATAACAAATAAAAAGTCTAAAATAGAACAAAAAATAAAATTTCACGTCATAGGGATACACCAAATTTTTTTTTTTTTTTTTTTTTTTTTTTTTTTTGTGTGGGGAGAGGGGGGGGGGGGGGGTACATAAAGAGTTCTCTGTTAAATATTGAACTCTTTTTAGAACGGCAACACAACACACTCCTAAACTACTCATTTCGTCTCTAGCAAGACTTGAACCCTCAACCTTTGATGTTGACGGGCCCCTTTCCACAAACAGTTGATACCATTGGGCTACAAACTCTTTGGTTTTAAAAAATGAACTAAACAATTACAGTCGCGTTTAATTTGTCAAATATATTCTTTCCTATAAAAATTGTAAATAAAACCAAAATTTTACAAGAGTTTAGCAATGCTAACAAGATGGTTCCAGGGAACCTAATTGAACATAAAACCATACAACACCCCAAGAATTGTATTTTTCAAACACACACACACACACAAAAAAAAAAAAAAAAACACATTTGATATGCAACAAAATCTTCTTTTCCTAGCAAGAATACGAATATATGATTATGAATTTACATTAATAAAAAAAATACTACTTGTTTTTCTGGCTAACTTCACGGCTTCGAATTTTCAAATAACCAAATTTCCCTGCACCCGGTGATGAACCCTCAAAGACAAATGGCTTGTAGCCTGTTGCCTTTTGGTATCTCTTTTGAATCTGCACACACGTTGAAAACATGGCAATGTACTTTTAATCTTTTTTTCTTATTAAGATATTGTACTTTAAAAATCTACCCAACAATTTTTTATTATATTATTTATATACCATTATGACTGGAAATTATAGGCTTAGCCAGTTTTTTTTTTAATACTTACATGGAATTCCAAAATGGTCACTAAACTTTTATTTATACACCTGATACTTATTATTCATTATTAATAACAATAAAATATTTATTGCATTTTGATGAAACAGTATTTTCGAGTTGATTTCCTGTGGTTGGAATTTTTGGACACTTTCCTATTGAAAGGTTGAATCTCAGATTTTGTATAAAAGCATGATACAGAAAACAAAAATATTGTAAAAAAATGTTTTGAGTAAATTATAAATACCTGAGTGATACATTGTCTAGTTTGAGGAGAATTCTTTCCAAGAACACAAATGGTCCCACCAGATCCACCTCCAGTGATCTTTGCCCCATATAATAAGCTTCCATCTGTTTGTGTTGATTTATTATTATTACTATTATTGTGTTGCATTTCTTGAACCAATTGGATTAGTCTATCTGTTCCATATGACCCTAATCCACAACCACTGTAGCTATAGTGACACTGCATAACACACAAATAAGGAACAATGTACAAATATAAATTTGTAAATGAGATGAGCATCTAGAAGTTTCTAGAAGTTAAAACATCATACCTGATACAGGAGTTCTCCAAGAGCAGTGAGTTGGTCTTCTGAAGGTGATGATGTTAGTAGTGCTTTGAAGGCCTGTGGATATGCAAGATTATATGTATTAAAAAAAAAAAAAAAAAAAAAAAAACAGGAATTTAAATTAAATTAATAGAAGATTTATAACCTTGACACGGAAATTTTCATAAATGGGATGTGTGGTAGCTGATTTGATGGGGTAAATACATTTGGCATTGATAACTGTTGCTGAATCATTGTGATCCTTATATTCTTTCAAAAAGGCTTCACCAGACATAGAATCGGGTAGATTCTTAACATATGTATGTTCATATCTGGATAATAATATTAATATGCAAGTGATTTAGTAATGGAAATGGGTGTTTTTTATTTAATACAAAAGAAAGGGTTAATACGTACCTGTGTGGGGTGAGATTGCACAAATGATTTAAAGAAGCTTCGGTTTTAAGTAGGCTAATGTCATGCTCATGATTATTATGCCCATTACTATTTGAAGATGCTTGAGAAATCATAGAAGATGCAATATATGTGATGATTTTTCGACCCATGAAGGCTCCTATCCTTACAAATCCATAATCAGCACCCCCAATACTGCAGAAATAAATAGCAATTGATTTTTGTATTTTAGCATCCTACTTCCATTTCTTCATGTTACAATCTTATACTTTGAACATATAATGTCCTAATAAGAGAGGACGATTGGAAGTATGATGATATAAATTATAATTTGGTGAGATTTTTGAAAGGACAATGTTGTAAACTCCATGTTTGATGGACTTCATCATTCCTAGAAGGAAATCAACTCTATTCTCCATGTTTTTGTTAAAAGACCAAAATACCCTCATTATATATATATATATATATATATATATATATATATATATATATATATATATATATATATATTAACTAGAGGAATTGGACGGATATACCTGTGGCGTATACCAGAGTCAATTCCCCAAAACTGTATGTGACTAGGAATATCCACTAGCCCTAATACCTCAGCAGGCTGCACAAATTTTGATATAATATCATCTTCTCAAGATAAAAATTTATATAATGTATAAATCCATTTATTAAGAAATATACCTGACAAAGCATTGCAAGAAGCTTGTTTTCTTCACCACATGCACAAGTCATTTGGTCCATCACTCCACATGGTGTTCCAACCACATAATTTTCCACCTGTTTGTATAATAATAAGTAATGTCATCTGTTTACTACTTTACTGATGATTTTTTTTTTTTTTTTTTTTTTTTTTTTTGGGTTGGGGGGGGGGGGGGGGGGGGGGGTTCTCAAGTATTTGTACCTTTTGGCAGAGTAAAGCAAGCTCTCTTGGACTGATATTTAATCCTGGGAAACAAAGACGAGGTACATCTCAAATTCCCAATCATTTTATATTTTTAAAATTGTTTTTGAATGTAGGGTTTGTTGAAGATGAAGGAGATGGAAATGGAGAAGACAGGGGCAAAAAGGTCATTTAGCATGGACTTCACATATGCATTACCAAACATGCAACTAAACTAAAGTAGGCAATCTCTGCAACAAATCAAATAACTTGTCTAAATCCATATCTTTTGAGATAGTGCAGGGACTCGAGTTGTAATATAATCTAAATAAATGCAACCTTTTTTATGTTTAAAGTTGACATAATGGGATAAAATGAGTGAATGGGTAAAATATTGAGAAATTTGTATTTTTGAATGTAAGGGTAAAATGGACATTTAAGTTGGTAATGAGTATAGATGAAAAAAGTACGATGCTAAAGGTGGAAGAGAAGTATTTGAATTACCATGTGCATAAGCAATAGCTGACATAGTAGCTACCTCCACAGATGCAGAAGAAGAAACACCTTTTCCTTCTGGAACAGCAGAGGAAACCTGTTTATTTATGCAACATAACTTTTTAAATAAAAAAACCGATATCTAACATGCTTTCTTTAAAATATATATAGAATTGGATTCACTAATATACCAGCATGCTGATGCTGCTTTCAAACCTGACATTCAATTCTTTCATTAAAACAATAATGGCACCAGCAACATATGCAGCCCATCTAAAAAACCATATTAGTATAGAATATCACTTAGGCCCCATCTGCATAACATAACATAACATAACATAACATAACATAACATAACATAAACATAACATAAACATAACATAGCATAGCATAGCATATACTTTGAAGAGAGAAACAAAAAATAAAGAAGGAAGACCTTTGAGATGTGTCTTGGGAAAAGTAATGTTTTGCCTTTTCATATGAAATCGGTTTCCCTCCATCCATAAAGTCTGATATGTCCATGTCAAATGTTGGACCACGATTGCTCAACTCTGATCCATATGACACCTGACAAAAACATACACTTTTGTATTATAGAATTCTACTTTCATTATATGCAAGAAGTAGGCAAATAGAAACATACATTCACTGATTTGTTTATTAGAGCATTGCATTTTGACTAATATTGCAGGTTATAGCAAAGCCATTCAAAGTTAAAGCAAATTTCATTGGTATAATACTATAGAGTAAAACTTTCAAGTTTCAAGTACAATGTTTAATGTCTTAGTAAGAAAAAGAAAATTGAAAGTAGAGTGTTGTAACTTGTAATAGAAAGAAATGGAAGTATGATGCTTTACCCAATTGTAACATCATACTATCACTTTTTTTCCTATTATAGCAGTAAAATTGTTTTGTATTTGGATGAAATTGCTATAATTAGGTAGAAAGAAATGAAGCAGGATGTTATAATAAGCAAATCAACAAAAGCAAACTTCTATTTCTTGCATCTAACCATTCTTCCAACTACCAAGTTTTAATATATATATATCTTGATGCTTCTTAGTAGATACAAGTTAATCCAGTTTCAGTGATGCATTCCATATTTATAATGTTTATATGCTTTAAAATCCAAAACAACAGAACAGCAAACTTGGCCTCTTTTTTTATGGGTTTTTACCTTTTTCAAGGTTCTCATTTATCTTGTAGTGTTAAAAGATTTCTGTCCAATGTTTTTAAATAAAGTGTAGTTTTAGTAAAGATTATTTAAACTTACAATTTGGAGAACAGGTGTTTGTTTTTGTCCTTTGGCTTGCTGTCGAGCCTGTGCATGCTTCCAGAGCCTCTGTTTGGCTGGTTGAATCTTTTGCACAGCAACATGGCAAGCTTCTCTAATTGGCATCTGCAATAATAAGCCAATTGATTTTCCAAACAAATGAAAAATAGAATTTGTATTTTCAATACATCCTTATACCATATTCTCTTTTAGCATACTAGTCTAATATATATGCCATGTTGGAAAAATTATAGGTTATGTGTATATATATATATATATATATATATATATATATATATATATATATATATATATATATATATATATATATATATATATAGTATGTTTCTCCCTCTGTATTTTTCAAGTATCACAGATAAAAAAAATATGGAGATCCTCCAAAACTTTCTCTAGTTTAGTTTCATTTAAAAAAAAATACCTGCAAAACAAGGCTTCCAGAATAGTCTGCAATTCCTCCAACTACATCCAATCTTCCTGGTGCCCTTGCCACATATATCTCTTCCTGTATATAAGTAAACAATGCAACAAGAAGATTGGAACTTTCTTATAAAAGGAAATAAGAACAACTTTCATCTGATCTAAATAAAATTTAAAATAAGTTGCATGATTGATTTTGCATTAGAAAACATTAAGGAAATCTTGTCATAGTGTGACATGGATCTTTCGTATTTGTAAAAGACATAAATGCCCTCTTCATGATTATCGAAAACAGCCCCAGAAAGCAGTTTTTTTTTTAGTGAAAAGATAAAAAATAAGATTTTAATTTGGAAACAGACCTCCCAGTTAAAGAGAGCAGCTGCAGCCTTGCGTTCTCTTATGTATGGCTTTTCAGAACTATGAGAGACGCGTAATTCTGCCAAACTTTTCAAAAAGTTAACGGTGTCTGGAAGACCCTTTACATCTCCATGAAGAATCTCAAACTCATCACAAACTCTACACAAACATATTCAAAACTCATCATCATGTTGAATTAATATAGTTATACACTTGTAATGAGAAAAATGAGCTTACGAATTCTGAAAAAAGCTGGAACTATTATTAGCAGCATCAGATGATTGTGGTGATCCTGTACGAAAACCAAGTTCATTTTGAGCATTAGTATACCATTCTGGGATACTGATATCTCTTCCTGAAGCTCTTTGTAATTGAAATCCAAGCACTATGGCATCACACAATCTCCTTGCCCCACTATCCTAAAACAAAAACATTAAATTTTTAACTTGTAGAAAAATAACAAGATTTAGTAATTTCTTTGAAAAACATTAGGTTTGAAGTAAGTTGTAAATTTTCAACCTGATCTGATTTGTAATTCTTTCCATGAGCTGCATCCTGCAAAATCTTGGCTGCAACCTGAATTTATATTAAAAAAATACATCAATGCAATGTACTCTGTATTTTACCCAATTTACCCTTGTTAAGTCTATCTAAAAAATATGATAATTTGCATAGAAGATGAATATAATATAATATATACCTCACCACCATTGACACCACCCTCATAGCTAGGTTTCAAAGTAGTTGCTATTTCAAGATATGGCCTCCAATGACCTACAAGCAAGTCCCTTCTTATCATCTCAACACCACCTTCATGATACTGTAATATCATCAAGAGTTTCTTAGTTTCTTCATGTTTGTAATAACTTTTAAGAAGTTGATAGTTGTGTTTTGTGTTATACCTCAAGCATATTTCTCAAAAATGGTTCTTCATTGAAATAATCTCTACGTACAAACACAAAAGGTAATTTGTATGCCAAAGCTTCACTACAGGTTCCATATCCAATTTTTCCTGAAACACTTTATGTCAAATGAATCTGGAATGCAAAAGGAAAGAAAACTTTATATATATATATATATATATATATATATATATATATATATATATATATATATATATATATTCTTATCACTGACCAAGCATGCAGTCAGATGCTGCCATGACATCAGGGGTATAAACGTCCTTTGCCAGCTTCTTGAAATTGTGAGGAAGCTCCTGCTGATTGTCATGTGCTCCACAAACCTGAGCCATACAACTTTTTGTACAAATATATATTTTTTTTACATTGGATACAAAAGGGTAGATATGGAAAAAGAGAGAAAGAATACCAGGCAAATCCAACCAGGAGGCAAGTACTCCTCCTTTAAGTTCCAATCTAATGACTGCAAATTTTCATGCATTGAAGGTTAAAAATTAAGTTATTTTATAGCATTTTGTCAGTTTAAAGTATTTCATATTTATTATTTCAAAATTTTGCAACAGACCCACTATGAAATAGGTGGTTATGTTGTTAAAAGGTTATGTAAATTGGTCAATTTGGTCATTTTTTGATAATACCTAAATTATATTTTACTAATTACTTGTGTTCACTGAGTATCTTCTAAGAGAGGAAGCAAAATTATTACTCCATTGTTAATGATGAATGAAAGAAATTAGTGAATTATGAAAAGTTAAACTATCACAAGAAAAGATCCTCAACTTACTTGTCCACCAAAGTTGAGTACCATGGCCTTCTCATTGTCTTCGATACCTAATTCATCTCTTACCTGTGTTAGAATACAACACAAAAAAGAAAAAAGAAAAAAAAAAGAAATAAGAAATAAAGAGGAAGCAGTGTTGATGTAAAATGATTTAAAAAAAAATGATATTGGCTACAAACCTCCTTGCGTGATTTTCGTGGCTTCCTCACAACCAAAGGTACATCAACCACATCTCTAAAAGCAGGCACTTCAGATGAAATTTATTTTTATTTAAATCATTAAAATCTTATATATTGAAATATATATGAGAATATGTGCAATCATCATACTTGGACAAAATCCTGGAAGACGTATCAGGAATTGACAGTGTGAATAGTCCTCAGCTATCTGTATCAAATTTTGTCAAAGGGTAAAACAGTAAATTGCATTGATATGCTAAAGCAACTCAAGACAGGTAGCTAGTCAGTTACTAGATAATAAAGAAAGTGTTTCTTTTTCAACGATAGAGTACATAAGGGCATCCACAATCCATTCAATTCTACAAAGTTTATTTCTACAATCCATCCAACTTTTCAAAAGTTTAATAAATTGACAAATCAGCATGCTATTTATAAATCATTTAATTAGAAATAGGGATTCAACTCCCCATTTATTCAACCTCCCATCATCAACTTATAATGCATCTAATTCCCATTCAATGCCACGTCAACACTCTCTCTCATTGTGGATGCTCTAAAAATCAATGATTTAGTATTTTTTTTTTCTGAATCCTAATCTCTTTCTACAACTAATTTGAAACTCCTTTTGTTAGTACTTCAAGATCCATTAGCATCTGTTATTTTGGAACGAATATTATAGATTCGTAAAAAGATACAGTTTAGGTTTAGGGCTTAGGGTTTAGAGATGGAAAGAGGAAGTGTATATTAATTATGATGAAGTTTGGTATAAGAAACATAGAATAGTATATACCTGCCAAACTATTGATCTATGATGATATCCAGCAACCACAACATATTCTGCATAAATGAAGTCCCAACTGCAACAATCAAATTTAAAGATCAATTGAAATTGGCAGATAGCTAAAGCAATTGTTCATCTTCCATTAGGAGCTTTTCAGTTTTCACTCTCAAAATTGTATATAATGAGCACCTCATTCTAAAAAGTAAAAGGTAACATGCCCCATATGGTTTAATGGATTAAAATGTTATTATATATGGACCTTGTTAGAGTTTCAAGAAATTATTCAGTTACCTGAAATTTGTTACACAAACTGCACGAATACCAGCATCAGCTGCTGCACGACAAGCAACTGGAACAACATCTGACACCTGTTTTATAATAAAACCACATGGAAGAAAAGGTTGGTGATAATAGAAATGCTAAAGAAGCTTTAATTCAATCATCTATATTTACATAAATATTACTTAAGAAAAGTGGTATTGTTGTTGTAAGCAAATTAGAAGTGCCAAAAAGTAAAAAAGTATAAGTAGGTGATTACCACTAAGTCTGCCTTGATGGATTTTAGCCACTTCACTTCTGTTGCCAAAATAGAATCACGAGGAACAACTGCTGTCTCAGAATACTAGATTAACCAAAAAAAAAACATGAAAATAATGATATTAACTTAAGACAGAATTATCTATATAAACATGCACCAGATAAAATAAACAACCATAAATACTAGACTTACTTTCTCCAAGGAGGCAAGTCTGTCTACTGTTAAAGCATCTGCTTGAACTACTCCACAGTCTATGACTAGCTATCACACAAAAAAACATATGGCCAAAATAATTTATAGATAAAAAAGCAGTTTTTTTTTTTCCTAAATCAAGTAATGTACATGAAACAAGAACTTTTAAAAGTACCTTTCGAAGGAAAAGTCGTGGAGATTGTATTTGAGAAGTGAAGACAAAATCAGGAGCACCAGTAACCACATGAACATCATGACCAGAAAGAATCAGATGATGAACAACCTGCACAGAACCCCAAATATTAAATAATACATAAAAGAGACTAATTAACAATCATTTTGTGGCACTGAGCTATGTACATAAACAGTAACATGCATACAGTTTATCAAATACAGATGACATAAAAGTTAATTAACATGTACAGAAGAATCAATGCAAAAGAACTATAAGCTTTGCCAATGTCTTGAGTCATTTTTGTTTCCATGATTACATGGAAAGATCGCATCCAAAACCCACAACTGCTCTCTACAATTATATAAGTACAATCTAATAAAATCATCACAACCCAGTAACATCTCTATGAAGTGTTTTATAGGAAATCACAGCGTTCAAAATTGAAGCTAATACAGTTATCAATTATAAGAGTTTTCAATTACAATAAGCCTGGAAAATCCAATTCCGTGGATTCGAATTGGAATTGAGTCAATTGACACAACATATATAATGCTGGATTTGAAATCTAATTTGGACCCTACATTCGAGAGAGATATATACAAAATTCCAAGTCATAACCACTGATACAGCGATTTGTTTCCCACCATTGATCCTAAATGCTATTTTACTCTTATTATGCAGAGGAGATGATTAATTTTCGCGACATTCTACTTCTTATGCTAGCAAATGACCAGTATCGTTCCCACGTCATGCAACATCAGCAAAAATTAGTATTCATCGTTGATTGAGTATTTAAAATTCTATAGGGTTATCGTGATTATTTGTCGTCTTCATCATTATCGTCAATTATATCACTCAGAAGAGAAGCTTATAATAAATGAAAAGGATCAAATAACCCGATTACAGCATTACAAGAAAAACACAAACCAAATCGAAGCAGTTAACTGATACATTTACCTCAACGCAACGAGTTGCATGCCCGAATCCATGGCCAGTAACATAATAAGCGAACACCAGACGGTTTCCGGTCTCCGATTCCTTAGCCATTTTCTATCGCCGTCGGAATTGCTGATGCTGATCAAATTGAGGAGATTTTTAACAGAAACAGAGTGGAGTTAATGCAGCTAATCGGATCGATTTTCCACGAGAAATTAACCAATTGAAATGGGGAGATCGAAGATAGTATCGGAGGAGATAATAGTATAATAGATATTTGACATGAGATGTACATTGTATAGTCGCCACCTTATGATTTCTTTCGGTTATTCTGTTGAGTGGAAGAAGTAATATTTGTCTGTATGCCCTGTAACTATCAGACATTATCACATTTGGTCCTTTCTTATTACTTAATAGCTCCTTAGCCCCTAAGCATTATCAAAATATAGCATTTTTTTGGATAACGTTTCAATCCAAATATATATTTGCTTTTTACTAGTAATAAAGATTTTAATACATACAATCATTCTAGTTTATAGACAGGATGAAAAGAATTAAAACCCATAATCACAATTTTATGATCTTTTGTAATATATCATCATACATGTAGCAAAAGTTATACATTCTTTTAAGTTTAGAAAGAGATAGAATTCCGGAAGTTTGTAACACTACCAAAATTCAAAATTTGTAACATAATTGATGAATATAATCAACAAAATATAAATATCCGAAACTCATTAGGTTTGTAAATCTTCTAGAACTTTTGGTAAACATTGATTGCTAAATATATAACTGTATTGAGCTTTTGACATTTTTATGAAAATATCCTAAAATTGACTATGCAAAAGACATAAATATGCTTTCTTATCATCGTCACATATGTTATTATAACAACCACAACCTAAAATTTATTAGGATCATTGTGCATAACAATTAGAAATTAGAAAGAAAAAAAAAAAGAGCTAAGGATCCATAATTATTCAATTCTACATAGACAATAGATGCTAAAATCATTGTGTGTTTTAAATTTGTTTGAGAAAGAGTTCCATCAATCAATGTACAAGGGTCTGAATTTATTCAGTGATCCATGCAGGAATGAACTCAAAAAAGCTTAAATTTGGATGAAGGTAACAAACATAAAACCATGAAACCATCAACAAAATTCAGCACACAGGATCACATCGCACATATTTGTCTTCTCAGGTTGCAAGCCTTTTTCTTCAATGTCTTCCAACCAGTGAGCTTCCTTTTGCCACGTGGAAATCTAGTAAATTTCAACAGAAAACTTTACATAAAACCAAGAAATGATTAGATATTAGATAAAGAAAATTCTATATATACATCACATCACTTAATAAATCTAAGATAATAAAAATTAAATTGACTACGTTCCAAATACATTTACAATAAAACATTAACAGAGTAAATTACAGTTTTTGTCCCTATGCTATAGTGGTTTTTACGGATTTGGTCCCTGACATTTTTTTTTTCTTTTATGCTCCTTGGGGTTCAGTTGTGTGTTGGATATGTTCCTTCCCATAACACTGTCAAACATAAGGACCTTAAATATGTGAAAATTACTATTTTGCCCCTCTAAATATTTTTATTAGAGTAATATAATGTGGGCCCCACCCCCTCCATCTTCTTTGCCACGTCCCGGCCCTCCTCCTGGACCTGGACCCTTTCTAATGCACCAAGTGTAATAAAAATATTAAAAGGAGGGGCAAACTAGTAATTTTCACATATTTAAAGTCCTTATTTTAACGGTGTTAATGGGAAGGAACATATCCAACACACAATTAATTGAACCACAAGGAAGATAAAAAGAAAAAAAAAATGTCAGGGACCAAATCTGTCAAAGCCACTATAGCACAGGGACAAAAACTATAATTTACTCTAAAACATAGTTTAAGTTATTTATGGAAATTAAGAAGTTTATTTGATTAAAGTTTTTAAATACTAAAAATATAATGGTGTTGTGGATAAATAAAAGTAAATTTATAATAGCAATATATCATTCCATTCCATCCCCATTAAAAAAAACAGCCCTCTCCTGTGATAGGTGATACAAAAATTGCAATTTATGTATGTGCAAAAAGACATGAATGCCTTCCTCACCTTCACCATAGAAATAGCCCTAGAAACCTTGTCCAGTCAAGTCCCGGTACGAACACATGAATTAATAACTATGCAATTAATAAACCTATTGATTTCCTACGTAACGAGGGTATTTTGGTCTTTTAACAAATGACATTGTATTATGAAGTGAGATGTGTCGTACCTAATTATAATGGAAGCGGGAAGGGCGTCTGCGAGAACTGTCGCATATGATATACCACAAAACAAGTGATTACATTAGCAAAATCTACTTTCAACAAACATGAAAAACTTACTCACAACATTTCATTGTAAAATACCTAAACTTTAACAAAAATACTAAATGCAAAGAAAATAGCAATGTACTTTCAATGAAGTAACAAAAGTAATTAACATGCTATGATTATGATAAACAAATGAGTGAAAGTACATTGCTATTATTTCTTGCATGTTATGTTTAGTTTTTAATGTTAGTATGTTAGAAAAAAGATTAAAGATAAACAAATCACCTTCTATGCCCTGTTCTACCCCTGGATAAGCTACTATTACTCACAAATTCATCATCCCCTTCATCCACTCTATACTCTTGAATCTCCATAGACACCACAGACCCTTCATCAGAATTTGAAGTATCATAATTCATTCCACGATTCTCTCTACTCACTCTCCCCCTTCTTCTATTTCTAGAACTCCTAAAATTATCAAAAACTTGATACAAAATACAAGAAGTCCACCAATTCCCATCATCACCTGGAAAATCTTCATACTCATCACCAGATTCATTATCCCCATACTCTATAACATAATCCCCTAACACCACCCCATGTGGGACCTCTGAATGTATAGTACTCAACACATCGATTATCTCAGAAGACTGCTGAAAATTTTCCCAATCCTGTTGTCTTGCAGGGTCCACTTTTGAAGGACACGCGTGTGGATGCTCTGTTTGCGCGTGTTCACGAAGCTCAGTGTAAGTTCCTGAGAATGTGCATTTTTCATCTTCACAACATCGTTTTTTTTCGTCCAATTTTACCCTTGCCTCTTTGATCACCACCCAACCCGTGACATCGCCTCTGCAAAGTGGGCATGATGGTTTGTTGGTCAATGTCCCGGTTGACTCGGTTAATGTCCCGGTTGACTCGGTCAATGTCCCGGTTGACTCGGTCAATGTCCCGGTTGCGATACGGAAGCGGTGTAAGCAATTGGAGTGGAGATGATCGGTGTCACAAACGAAAGGGCGGCAGCCTTTATTGTAGGAGGTGCATTGGAGAAGAACAGAGTTGTGGGGGTAGGATAGGCATATGGGACATGTGATGTCTTCCCATTTAGTATCAAGATGAAAACCCTCCATGAAAGTTTGAATTTTCTAAGGTTTATAGTGGAGTTTGAGTTTGATAAGAAAATGTGTGTGTCAACATGAAAACTTCATTATCTGATAGAATTGGAATTAGGGTTTAGGGTTTGGGGTTTGGGAGGTCGGTAAAAGGTAATTGATCTTCAACAATATGAGCAAGTGTACCTGGTAAAAGGACAATGAAAAATAAATCACTAATTGTAGTAGTTAAAAACCAACAAAAAGATGGATTCAAGAGATTTTCCATAAGTGTATCTTTTACAAACATGAATTACTTCAACTCTCCAAATAAGTAGTTATGAATTTAGATACTATGATGATGTTTCTGTGTTAAGTTATTTTGTGTATATTGGTTTGATAACTGATAGTTTGATACACATCTATTTGTATTTCCATATTGTACACAGTACTAGTGCATGTCATGCCCATATTTCCACATTTAAATAACCTGGATGTAGTTCATTTTTGAGAGCATGGATTGTTCCACCTTATTTCCAGATTCTTTATGGTTTCTAATTTTAGTCCATCTCACTAATTTGAGATAAAAGGATTTGCTGTAAATGTATTATACATGCTTCTCAAAGTACACCATGGTTTCCAATTTTAGTCTATCCATTTATGTCAGGATTTTCATGGTTTTCAATTTTAGTCATTCCTTTCATATTCATTTCTCCCACAAAATCATTTTTAGAGAAAGGTATGGTAACTTATCACATAATCTCTATAAAATCAGCATGTTCCTAGTCATTCTCTTGTCCATTTGTTACATTCTCCATAAGAACATTGATTCATGAAACCTAATAGTATTTGGTATCTCACGAGTTACAGCCCTAAACTTATACAGCAGTTAGGTTGTCTATAAGCATGATCATTTTAGGCATATATGCACTCAGAATCAATAGAAAATCAACAAAATTACCCGAAAATAGTCAAACAGAAACTGTTACAAACCAACGAGGAAAAAAAGTGAATTTATCGACTAATAAATGTAATATTAATGCGAAACTCTCCAATAAATCAGCAAACATTATGAAATTGATCAAATCAGATTTACCAACCCTAACACGAACAAAGACCTATCACTAACGAACAATACTGGAATCAAAATATTGCAAACAAGCAAAATTGAGCGAATAAAGAACCGATAAGAGATGAAAAAGAGATTTTACGAGTTGAAACTAACCTGGATGATGACCGATGATGAAGCAGTTGAGTGTTAGATTCGGAGGGTTTACTGAAATCGATCGGGGGAGGAGACTTGGGAAGGGAGATGGCGAGGGCTGAGAAGATGACACGCTAACTGTGTTACTTTTCTTCTTTGAGTATTTATATAATAATAAAAGTCGCTCTCTTTTACTAATATTTATTTTCGTAACGTAGTTAGAAAATGCGCACTTCGGCGCACGTAAGCAATGGCTCTTAATGCCAATACTTGTAATTATTAATAATAAATATTTGGAGGTAAACAACATATTTTTATTATATGTCTTACTCGGTCTATATTTAATTATTTAAAATTTATTTAAATACCAAGCTACAATAGAATGTCTAAAAGAAAAAAGTTTATCAATTAGAATACCTTGACTATTAACTTATATATAACTCAAAATAAATGTTATATCATAATCTTTTAAGTTAAAAATTATTTTCTAGAAAAAAAATTAATGAAAAATGAGAATTTTGAAAACGCGTTTAGTTCGTCTATTTTATTATATTTTCATAGAAAATAAAAATTTTCCCTTTTCAAAAATTATAAAGAAATTGAAATTTTTGGAAAATCAATAATTATTGTTTTCCATATTTTTTTATTCGAAATTTTTCTAAAAATATAAACACACACCGAATCCCACTTCTACCCACCCCT